GATTTCAAGTACTGGAATGCCGGCCCTTCTTTTTGCAACGCTTTGACGAAATTTTTGAATAGCCCAAGTTTTATATGTAGTGGTGGAAGTATTATGCGTTCTTTTACCACAAGAGGATCATTTTTAACGTTGTCTTTACCAATTGTGAAATTATCCCATTTTGGCCAATCTTTTCGGACGTAGTGTTCCTTACGAGCTCGACTGTCCCATATATATTTTGTGTATCCCTGTTGCAATCCAGTCAACATGGCAACCACTTTAAGATCGGAACAAATTTTCCAATTGTGTTGATTGTAATTTATCAAATTGAGCAATAGAGCCATTGATTCATACGTTTCCTTCATATTAACGGCATGAGCTAATGGAATAGAAGGTTTCTCATTCCCTTGATGCAGTAAAACGGCTTTCAAGCTCAACTTGCTGCTATCGATGAATAAACGCCATTCAGCTGGATCATATGGCTCACCAAACTCTTCAAACAAGCCGTTTACGTCATGACAAAAACATGCCTTGTCCTTTGTAGAATAATATTTGTCAAATTTCTTGTGACGATTCCTGTGACAAGAAATTTTGACCTCCTTGCTCAGCATGTTGTGTTCTTTCAAGCGTGATGCCAGCAATTCGGATTTCTCCTTCGATAAGTCGAGATCTCGCACCAAATCATCAAATTCGGATTGTGTAAACAGTTTTGGGTTTCTTTCCAATTCCACCTCGAAGTCTTCCTCGCATTCCTCCTTGAATTCCTCCTCACTTTTTGTAACGGTCGATTCAACAGAGGGCGCTCGTTTCCGCTTTGGATAAACAGGATACGGGACCGAACTTGAATGTGGAACAGGTTTTGTCATAGAAGCCACTTGTGGATAATCAACTGTTTTGTGACGTTCTTGTTGCTTAACTTTTGTCAAGCAGAAATAACAATCCGTTGCATGACAAAACGGTCGACGCCATATGGTGGGCATGTCAAAGGACAAATAGCGACTGACAGATAACAAATAAGTTAGTTAGTAAGTCAGACATTAACACTTATCAAAAATAGATGAAGTAAGATAATGTCGATCAGGAAAGAACAAAGCACTACCATGCTGTACATAAATTGTTTGTTTGAAAGTTATTCAAAAAATCAATTTACCTTGCGCCTGACATCCACCTAGCCAAACACGTTTTGCACGAACTACATAATACTTTTGGAATCCACGGTTCGTCAAAGTCTCCAGGATCAATTTTAAAATAAAGCCTGTATGCAGTTTGCAACGAAGCAGTGAAATTGACCGATTTTGTAAATATATAGTTGCCACACGCGTAACAAAACTTTTGAGGATCATTTTTACACTTGAATTCACGTTTTGTCGTATACATCGTTAAGCAATGTTAAAGAAAGAAAGCTGTCAAATTGAGTTGGTTGCGTTAGGTTCTCGCCGAGCGGTCTTACAAACACTAGCGTAAATTATATTGTTGAAAATATCCCATTTAATTTTGCGTGACAGCTGGTAGTGTTAGTGAAATGCACCGTATGCGTACACGTCCGCAGAAAGGCTTACTGGAAGTGGTGCATGAACCTAGGAGCGGGACAACGGCCAATCTTGGAACATTCAATTTCCATGATTTTACAAAAAATTTCATAACTTCGACAATTTCCAACCGATTTCATCCATTAAAGGCTCATTTTTTCCAATTTTTAACGGACTTTAAGAATAAATTATGGAATGATTTTTTGAATCTTTTATTCCCATTAAAAATGTTGATTAAAACAAGATTTTTATGGAAAATTCGCAAGAAAAATTAAAAAAAATGCTGTAAATTTTTAAATGACTTCAAAATTCAATTTTTAATTAAGACATAATATTGAAGTGAACGATAGCAAATTTATGTAGCTTCACTTTCATAAAAAAAAAGATTTAAAATTGGTGCACTAGTTCCAAAGATATTGACATTTTAGTAATCGTACTTTTGTCCAAAATTCAAAAAATCAAAATTTTTGTATATCTCAAAAATGGCTCTACTTTAATTTTTTCTGACCACGGCATTGAATTCAGCGTAGGATTTTGCATTAGAAACGTTGGTCAACCACTAAAGTTCACACTTTTTATGTTGTTTCGTAAACTAGTGTTATCAGTTGTACCTGCAGCAGTCATCCACAACTGAAATTTTGTATACCTGCTATCTATCTGATTTCATCCTATTTCTAAAGCACGTTTTGGCAGTATCCAATAGGAACATATTTTTCACTATAAGGACCATAATTAAAATATGGACAGAAGTAAATAAATGAGGTGGTATTGATTTTATGTAACGAGAATCCAGCCCAGAACATGTGAAACATAAAATAAAAATATTATTGTGCCATCAGCGTGAAGGAATTCAAGAAAAATTAAAATATATCAAAAGCATTGGTTTTTCACCAGAAAAGTTCAAAACTACCTCTCACTCACCTGGTCATATCTCAAAAGCTGTCTTTCCAAATAATTTGCCCATGGAAACACATCAAGTAGATGAGTTTTCCAAAGTGTTCTGAAAATTTGAGCCCAAAATATTAAAAAATAAAAAATCCCGCCTATGATGAAAATAGGCCATTTTTTGACAATTTCGATACCTGCCGGTAATCAGCCTGTTTATTGTAGTTACTATAACAAAAACAAAATGTGGGAACACCTTTAAGAATTTAAATTAAAAAAAAGAACCTACAAATTGACGTTCTAAGATCACGAATAGCTTATTTGGTTTTGGATTAATCTCTTCTGAAAGTTGAAATTTTAAAAATCTCGAAAACACAGAAGTGTAGCCCAGAAGGATCTAGGCACTTTAGAGCAAAATAAAAAAGGCGTTTGTTCAGAATGCCAAAATAAGCGTTTTGGCTAAGTTTGGCTCAAATCGGCGACATAGACCACAGGTGGTGTACCCACTTGAGCTGGAATGACCCATATTAGAACAGTTAGAACCAGCAATTGCTTCTAAGATTTATGACTATTTCGTGGAGAGCGTTTTACTGATCAATCAACGTGGAGTTCAAAACATAATTCAGTGGATGAATTATTTTACAGAGATCTTCGTCGCAGTGTTAAATTATTTACTTTATAAAATAAATTTTTAATAATATATGTGTCTAACAAACAACAGTTTTTAAAAGTTTTCGTTAAACCTCGAAATTTTTCAAAGAAAATCGTGACAATCTGGAAAGCAAGGAAAATGTAAGTAAGTGAACATTAACTCTTCAAAATTATTGGCGCCCTCAAAGCTATGAAGCGCCCCCTTTTGGAAGTTGGGCCTCCCCAAATGAAGAGGGCTGCGCACGCCAATGGTTAAAACCAAATCAATAGACGAGGGATTTCTTGCTGATGAAAAGCATGTTGGGCTGTTTGGATATTGAATAGTGTAATAACCTGCAGAACAATCATCAAACAGAATGTTACCATTGGAAATGCTTTAAGCATTATTTTGTGGGCCAATGAAAGTACATAGAAAGACGCGGTTTTGAAATTCAAAAAGCTTAGAACTTCGTTTTTATTTCTAAATTTTTACAAGGCGAAAGAAAAAAAAACAAAATGACGCCCGTGGTCACGTTTTGAATTAGGTAGTGTACGCCTGGAATTGTCAAACTGCATACAGCCTGGTACCTCAGGATCGATCTGAAACACAACACGGCTTTAAAGTGAACTAAATTTATTTGAGTAGCGACCTAAAAACGGGTAAAAAACTTAGGTGATTGGTGATTTGGTGGGATCTCAAACATTTAGGTCGAATTTTCACCCTTTTTTTCCTTTTTAAGAGTTCAGAAAAAATAGTGAATACAAAGAATTTGTAGATTTTATAGGTCAATCCTTCAATGAAAAGGGTTTTCTTTCGAATGGTCAAAGGTAGAAGTCGTTAAATTGAACCGTTGTCAAATAAGATTGTTGGGTAATCGGCTCTTACCTCCTTCGATTGGCAGTGGATATCATCCGCCGACTCCAACACTGCTTGGGGGGCGAGACCGGTTGGTTAATTACCGCCTGTGTTCTGGTTGGCTGCTGGTAGTTTTCCTTGGGGAAGTGAGGTGCGGGGATACTGGACGTAATGGCGATTGGATTTCCTGGTCTCTTCGGAACCATCCGGTTGATGTTTCTCCCAAATTAGTACACTGGGCAATCACTTGGCTTGGCAAACTCGCGACACAAGTATAAAACTACATTTATTCCCTTTACTACATTTACTACACAGAACAACAACTTAACTCTAACAATTTAAAATGTTCGTCCCCGATGGGAGCATCGACCGTCTTCAACGGCTACCGAAACCAACTGAATTCAAACTCGCTATCTGGTCATCGCTTGACCCATGATCGCGTAGACCAAATCTCCCTCTCGCGCTGTACAAATCTCCGTCCATTCGGTCCATCCTCGCTTCGAACAGTTTTCGCTCGTCTCATCTGCCGCTCTCGATGCCGACCGACCGTATTTTTTTTTTTTTTTTTTTTTTCCTTTGGTTTGTTTTTTCCGTCGATCTTGTTTTCCGTGCTGAGCACCAATGCTACCGACGTGCCAGGAAGGCAGCTCCCACACCTGGACCCTACCTATCGACCCATCAACTCATGAACCGGGGACCAACGGCTTTACTTCCCATCCGAAGGAAGGCGTGATCAGAGATGTTATGCCTCAGAACATCCCGGCGGCGCCGACTGGGATTGTACCCAGGCCTGCTGGGGTGAGAGGTAATCACGCTTACCACTACACCACCGGCGCCGTTAACCGACCGACCGTAGGTAGCTGGATGATGATGTTGGCTGCTATCCCTTACGTCTGCGCTGCGGAGACCGGACAATAGACCCATCTCGACTCGTAGTCCATTCCCTTTGTTGCCTGCAGATCAGCTGTAGCAGCGACGGTGGTTAACAGCCAGGGATGTAGTGCTCTGGGTGGTTCAGTATCGGACATCCTCACCCACCCAGAAATTCGTAAAAATTTCTGAAAAGAAATAAGAAAACCTCTTCGGAAGGATGGGAGATTGGAAGGGATTTGGATTGGGATTTACAGCGCGATATTCTGGGTGACGTGTTCTTCTTCATCGGTTGGAATAGGAAGAATACAAATCCTTTCCACCGGACGCCTCAGCTCACCGGTGGCAGTCTTAACGGTCACGACTCTGGTAATGTTGTCATCGCCAGGGTGTAGAGCAATGATTCTTCCCATCTTCCAACGGATCGGAGGGAGGTTTTCATCCTTGATGATAACTAGTTTTCCTGGTTCTATGGGAATTGCAGGCTTCCATCTTTTGGTTCTGGCCTGCAGTTGGCTCAAATATTCCCGTCGCCAACGGACCCAGAAATGCTGCAGTTTCTGCTGGATCACTTGGAACTGATTCAGGCGGTTCACCGGGACGGTGAGATGTTCGACATCAGGAAGAGCTTGAAGCGACGAGCCCACAAGGAAGTGCGCCGGTGTCAACGGCTCCAAGTCATCTGGGTCATCCGACATTGGGGTTAACGGACGGGAATTCAGGCAGGCCTCAACCTGCGTTAGCAGCGTGGTATAATCTTCCAATGAAAATACCGCTTCTCCGATAACATTCAGCAAGTGTTTCTTGGCCGACCGGACAGCTGCCTCCCAGAGGCCTCCGAAGTGTGGAGCACTCGGGGGATTGAAGTGCCATTGAATACTGTCCGTGGCGAGCTCGGTAGCGATTCGTTCGTTGTGTTCTCGATCCTTCAGCAAACGGAAGAGTTCGGTCAATTGGTTCCTAGCGCCGACGAAATTTGTGCCATTATCTGAATAGATATCTGAGTATTTTCCTCGCCGCGACACAAATCGTCGCAACGCTTGCAAGAATCGCTCTGTTGAAAGGTCAGAAACGAGTTCCAAGTGTACTGCCTTTGTAGTCCACGCCTGTTTTCGTAAACGGTCGGGATACTGTTACACGAGGTGATGGCAACTCTCCCATGAATTGCTGGACAGTAGACGGTTTAGTACGGTAGCATCTCAAGCACCGATGTACTACCTCTCTTGCTACGTTCCTCCCACCAAGAGGCCAGAATTGCAGCCGAATCGCTCCCAATAGTAGTTGGGGTCCGGCATGTAACAGTCGCTCATGAAAATGTTTCATTATCATACGGGTTAACTGATGACGTGCTGGTAATACTGCGGGATGTTTGGTACCTTCCAGTTCATCGGAATTCTTCAGACGACCTCCTACTCTGATGATTCCATCCTTGCAGATGAACGGATGAAACCACCTCAACGGTGACTTCCTCGATACGTACTCTCCTTTCGATAAAACCCTCCATTCTTCTGCGAAGACTTCTCGTTGGACGTTCCGCAGAATAGCATTTTCAGCAGCCTTCAGCTCCGCTGTGGTTAGGAATCCGTTTGGAGAACGATTTGCCGCTGGGATTTGTAGAAGATTCATCAGCCGTAGCCAGTAAGCTGTTCGTCGAATCAGGTCAGCGTACGATCCAAATTTGCTGAGGTACATTTCATTGAATTCCGCTACGGATGATCCGGTACACGCAACTACGGCGCGGCACCTTTCTTCCTCTCCTGCTTCTAGGTTTTCTTCAACAGCACCAGGCCATGATTCTGGAGCTTGCTTCAACCAATACGGACCTTCCCACCAGAGTTCGTTGTGGACGATGTCTTCAGGTGACACTCCACGTGATATTAGGTCCGCTGGGTTGTCTGTACCGGGTACGTGTCTCCATTGCCATCCTTCCGTTAGCGTTTGAATTTTTGCCACCCTGTTGGCAACGAACGTGGTCCAAGTTGCTGGTGTAGATTCGATCCAACGCAGCACACATGTGGAATCCGTCCAGAAGTACGTCTGAGCCGCCAACCGAGTAGAGTTTTTGACCTTCTCGTATAGCTGGGACAATAAGAGCACACCACAGAGCTCTAATCGAGGGATAGACTGACAACGGAGTGGAGCCACCTTGGATCGGGATGATAAGAGTCGAACCTTGATTGCTCCGCTGGAATCCTGACTTCGTAGGTAGATGCAACCACCATACGCCCTTTCAGAAGCATCCGAGAAGCAGTGCATCTCCACGACCGTGGCATAGGGTATGATAACACAACGATCGACACGAATCAACCAGTACCTCACCCACCGTTGGAGGTACTGGTTGATCCCAATCCAACCGGTTACCGTTTCTGTCCTCTAGCGTCCACAGGTGCTGCATCAAGATTTTGGCAGATGCTGTCGTAGCTCCGATCAGGCCAAGAGGATCAAATAACGTAGCGATGAGTGATAGGATACGGCGCTTCGTTAGTGGGATATGAGGATCTAACTGCGGGACTTCGAACTGGAATCGTAGGGTATCGGTGTTGGGCATCCATGTCAGGCCCAACGTTTTGACCGATTGGTTCGGATCTAGGTTGATTCCGGTACTATTGGGAATAGCCAGATTCTCCGTGGGTACGCCTTCCAAAACTGCGGGAATATTGCAGGACCATTTCCTGAGCTTGAAACCACCGCTTTCCATAATCTCCGTTAGTTGGGATCTGAGGGAGATAGCTGTTTCTAGCTCATCCGTGCCAGTGATTACGTCGTCCATGTAGACGTCCTCACGAATTGCCTTTGCTGCGAGCGGGAAACGGGTTTCTTCGTCAGCTGCCAGCTGCTGAAGAGTACGAGTTGCTAGAAAGGGAGCGGGTTTGGTTCCATACGTGACGGTTTCTAGCTCGTATACCGTAACGTCCTCGTCGGGTGAAAACCGGAAGAGTATCGACTGTAGTGATCGATCCACTGACGAAGTAAGGATCTGCCGAAACATTTTCTCAACATCCGATACGAGGAGAATCTGCTTTGTCCGGCTCCGTAGAATGATTGCTCTCATATCCTCCTGCACAACTGGTCCCACCAGAAGCACATCGTTCAAGGACACTCCGGATGATGTCTTGCATGAGGCGTCGAAGACAACCCTGACCTTGGTGGTGGTACTCGCCTCCTTGACCACCGGATGATGAGGTAGATAACACCGTTTGGTTGACACGGCGTCTTCGACCCTTCGCATGTGCCCCAATTTCAGGTATTCATCCATGAACGCGACGTACTGTTCCCGTAAATTGGAATCCCTTGCCAACCGTCGTTCTGTTCCAAGAAGACGTCGGAATGCGATGTCCCGTGACTCGCCAAGAGTTGGAAGAACCTCTTCATTTTTTGGTAAGGGAACAGTGTACCGACCGTCCGAACCTCTTTGGACCCCACGTTGGAACAGCTCCTCACAGAGTTTTTCTTCTGGAGAAAAGGAATTGGAGAATTCTACTTCTTCGCATAACCAGAACCGTTCCATCAGCTTCTCCAGTTCCATAGTGGCTGAGAAATGGCAGCTGTTTTGAGTGGATCTGCTTGGTGTTGAGCAGCCACCATTGGCTACCCATCCGAATACCGATTCCGCGAGGTTTGGGAGATGGTTCTCGATAGAAAGTCTTCGCCCAGTTTCGAAGAACTCGAAGAAATTCTCGATGCCTAGGATGATGTCGACTCCCTTGGATTGGAAGAAAGCTGGATCCGCCAATTGGATTCCATCCGGTAACTTCCATCCTTCCATGTTGATTGGGGTTGTGGGCAAATTCACGGTAACCTTGGGTAATACTAGGAAGCTCATATCCCGCGAATATTCCGAAACTCGCGAGCGAACCATCATTTGAACCTGGTACTTGGCTTTGCTGGTTGTCTGCCCTATACCAAGAACTGAAATGTCGACCCTTTCTCTGGATAATTTCATTCGTTGGCTCAGTCGCTCCGAAACGAAGTTACTTTCAGCGCCAGAGTCCAGAAGAGCTCTAGCGTTGAACCTTGTACCAAAGTCGTCCTCGACGATGACCACCGCAGTCGCTAGTAGGACTGGCGATGAAATCTTCTGAGCCACATTGCATGTCGTGGTGTTCGTGGTCGCCCCGCTAGCCGGTTGATTCGAATTGGAGCTCTTGGAACCTTGAGAGTTTGAGAGATTATTCCTCCCAGCAGCTGCTGCGGCCATGGTAGCGCCCTTCTCCGGTTGGAAGCACACTAGGGTATGGTGCCGACGATTACACTTCCGACAGGAGAACTTGGATTGGCGATCCTTTGCCTGATGACCGGATCGGAAGCAATTTCGGCAGAGTCCGTTGGATTTCAATAGTGAGTCCCTGTCCGCCACGGATAGTCGTTGGAATGCGGAGCATTGATATAGAAGGTGGTTGTCCTCACAAGCCACACATCTTCCCCCGCTCGATTGAACGGAATTGTAACTGGCCTTCAGCGCTGGAAATTTGGGTTTTGGAGCCGTTTGTTGGTTGTGGACGCCCTTGGAGTCTGCTTGCCTTGGAGGGAGTGATTCCAGTACTTGGATCCGCTTACGAAGGAATTCCGTGAGCTCCTCCAGCGAATCTTGTTCCTTGGAGGCCGAACATTCTTCCCAGGCACGACGGGTGTATGGATCCAACCGCATGGTGATGAGATTTACCAGCAACAGGTTCTTGTAGTCCGCTGGTTCGATGATCTGATCGAGGGTTTGAATGTTACGTTCGAAGCTTTCAACAAAGTTGCGCAGTTCGGATACGGATTCCTTACTTAGGGTCGGAAGCTTCAATAATGATTGGACTTGCTTCTTCTTCAGCAACTTGTTGTTGTTATATCGCTTCAATAGCGTGTCCCAAGCGATCTGGTAATTCGCCTTGGTGATCTTCAACGAGTCGATCAGGCTTTTCGGCTCCCCTTGAAGACACCCTTTAAGGTAATGCAGCTTCTCCACCTCGGGCAAGTCGGTTCTCCAATGAATCAACGAGGTGAATAGATCCCGAAAACTCAACCAATCGTCGATGTCCCCGCTGAACGTCTGGAGATTGATTTGTGGTAATCGGACATGATCAACCACACCTTGCATTTTCGGCTCATGGGTAGACTTTTCCAGTTCAGACGGTTCCCGAAGCAGCTTACTCTTGTCCAATAGGAAAGTTTTGGATTCATAGTACCGATCGCTCAACTGTTTGCGAAGCTTTGCATAATAACCCTCTTCATCCTCAAAATCATCCTGAGATTTTAGCTCAACCAAATTCTCGCTAAATCTCTCCCACAATTCTTCAATTTTTGATAACCGAACTTCTACCTGAGTGGCGGTTGTTTCATCAGAGAACTTCTGAATGAAAGACGAAATGTCATCGAACGAAGATTTCAAATCGTCCAATTGAATCTTCAGCTGCTTCAGGGTTGCTGATCCTTTCCGGGTGATGGGCGGCATGATGATGTGATGTCGAGCAATCGGTAAAAGAAGTAGTGGTGTAGTATACCGCGTATAGTCTCTGTTGGCTCGACTGCCAACGTGATGTTTGACTTGAATCTAAAACGGCTGCTCGTTGGGCCTTGCCAACAGATGACGACAAATTCCAGCTGCACCAGCTGCGAGCCGACATCGCTTACTCGGAATCGGTAGTTCTTAAAAGAACACCGCGAAAGTAAAACTCTTTTTAGAGCAGCGACGGCAACAAGCAACGGTGGGAACAGCAACTCTCCATTTCGGAAGTAGAGGGAACAGGAACTCCACTGAGCAGGACCACCGACAAAACTAGGACGGTAACAGGGACCCCTTGCATCGATATCGAATCGACGGGAAAACTGGAATTTTCTTTCTTGGATAGGATAACTTCAGCTTCTTCACTTTATCTCTATATTGCTTGGCAATTCGGAAACGACTGACAATGTGAATGCGTGATTCGCTTGGTTTTATACTTTTCTGAATCAAAGAGAAATTAAATGACGATGATGATTGGTCTAACAATCTACTACGCAAAACGGAATGAACGTGTACAATGTCATAAAAGCTAGATTCTTATTGGATGTTTACACTTATTTCTGTTCTTATTGCTAGTGTTAGTAAGGGAAGCCGTTTGCCCGCGGCGTTCTCGGGGTTAGTGAAACAAAATGCAAGGAAGGGAAAAAAGGATAGGGAAATATTTCTGCTGTGCTGATTTCTGCGGCCAACATCGGAAACGTGGAGTGGTTAGCGGTGGCGGTGTAATCGATACACGGCAGTGGTACCAATCTATTCGCTGTTGCGAACAGTCTCCGCTTCGGCGGACATATACTGCTCGCTTTTACTGACCTGACAGAACAGGTAACTGTTCTACTGCAAATCCAAGTTGAACCAAAAGTAGCAAAAGGTCCGGTGACGTCACATCAATCTTGCCTCGGTAGGGATCGCTCAGTTCAGGTTGAAGTTCAAAGAAGAGGAGAAAGCGGGGGTGTAATATCCAACGAAAGCCTGGCCTCGGCTGGGCATATACTGTGGCAACCTACCTGGAGGTACCAACAGCAGTACCAATACAAATTGCCCAAATTCGGTGGATTCGGCGGATCGGTGGATAATGCGACTCCAGAACGTAGGTGTGTATAGGTTGTAGTACGAAGAGGAAAATCGATATGTAGCAATCGTATGGCTAGCTTCGGTAGGACATATACCGTAGAACTAACCTGGAGGACTAACGGCTTCACCAACCGAAACGAAAAACCAGTCGAGGATGCAAATTGGGATTATCAGCAGACTTGCTCTAACGAGCAGTTCAAATTGCAGGGCTTGCGTGGCGTTAATTGAAGAGGTTTTTACGGGAATTCCAATTAAAATGGTGTATTTCTGTATAGCCTAGCTCGGCAGTAACATATACAAAAAGGTTCACTCACCGGGGAGGGAGTAAATGGCCGCTCCCTCTTCTGCCACCGTTCACAGCAATCGTCCTTCAGGTCCAACGGCTTATGCGGAATGCACAACCGTTTCGTAGTCGAACTGTCCGTTGATAGCCGGCTGGATAGCCATCCTCAGCTCTCGGTACCACCGAATAGAGCTCCGTTCATGTAACGAATCCAATAGCATGCGTCGAAAGGTTTGCGTTAGAATCATGCAGTCAATGCTTCGGCTAGACATACACCGAACTTGTGAATATTTACCTGGGCAAGCAGATATTCCTGCTGATTCGGTACTCCAGCTCAGCAAGGGATGGCCAGGGGTTGATCCAAAATCGGCCGATGTTGACTGCATGCAACGAAAGTCCTCCAAAGATTCACAGCATCCACCAGCATGTATTCGCACTCCAAATCCAATAATCCAAAATGGGTTCGATTTTCCATCCAGTTTCCTGATCGGTGATGGCGCAATGTGTCTCCGAACAAAGCTGACAATTGTCCTATTATCACCGACTGGCAATGGCGATCCACCAAAGAAGCCTGGGATCCGCGATGGCGATGTGTCGATTGTGCACTTGCCTCGCGATGGCGATTTTCCGCGGGTGCGATGGCGCTCACAGTTCGGCGCTGTTGGTTTCGGCGTGGCGCACAATTATTCCGTCCAACTGGTCCCCGGGTTAGGCATCCGGTTCGAAGGACCAAATGTTGGGTAATCGGCTCTTACCTCCTTCGATTGGCAGTGGATATCATCCGCCGACTCCAACACTGCTTGGGGGGCGAGACCGGTTGGTTAATTACCGCCTGTGTTCTGGTTGGCTGCTGGTAGTTTTCCTTGGGGAAGTGAGGTGCGGGGATACTGGACGTAATGGCGATTGGATTTCCTGGTCTCTTCGGAACCATCCGGTTGATGTTTCTCCCAAATTAGTACACTGGGCAATCACTTGGCTTGGCAAACTCGCGACACAAGTATAAAACTACATTTATTCCCTTTACTACATTTACTACACAGAACAACAACTTAACTCTAACAATTTAAAATGTTCGTCCCCGATGGGAGCATCGACCGTCTTCAACGGCTACCGAAACCAACTGAATTCAAACTCGCTATCTGGTCATCGCTTGACCCATGATCGCGTAGACCAAATCTCCCTCTCGCGCTGTACAAATCTCCGTCCATTCGGTCCATCCTCGCTTCGAACAGTTTTCGCTCGTCTCATCTGCCGCTCTCGATGCCGACCGACCGTAGGTAGCTGGATGATGATGTTAGCTGCTATCCCTTACGTCTGCGCTGCGGAGACCGGACAATAGACCCATCTCGACTCGTAGTCCATTCCCTTTGTTGCCTGCAGATCAGCTGTAGCAGCGACGGTGGTTAACAGCCAGGGATGTAGTGCTCTGGGTGGTTCAGTATCGGACAAAGATTGTACGCAGTTTTAAAAAATATTTTTCGAGATAAACGCGTTTAAAGCTGCTTCTAACAATCGCTTATACAAAGACACTTAAACCTTTAAAAAAAATGCAATAAAATAGAAAATCGATTTTTTGAAAATGGTCTCCTTACAACATGTGTCTTCAAAATTGGTGGGTTGCAGTCAACGACTGTTTGAGAACCACTGGCATAGACTTCACAGACTTGAACTTAATGAAAATCGCTTTCCCCTCCGATATGCGGTATGTGTCTTCCATCTCAGCATCATTCGCATCCCATATCTTTACGGAATTTGCTATTTCTGTTCAGGTGGGCCTGAAGTTCTCTGCAAAAAATATAAACCATTATGCATGTGTTGCCAGAATAAAACCCCTCGCACTTATTTTCGAAAGCAGTGTATTTCAAGCAGCTTCAAAGCTATAAAATATGAATAATTAGGTTCATAGTTTGTAGATTTAGGATAATTGGTTCGTAGACTAATAGTTTCAGGTTAGTTTGTTAAATAGTTAGCTAGATGATGCAGTTTTAGGTTAGTGGTTATGTTTAGATTTTATCCGCAGCAAAGTGATCTACAAATGCTAGAATATAGAGTATTATGAATTCACTACATTTAGGTAAATTATATCAACTCTTAACGTGAAAGTTAACACTTAATTTAATTTTCTTTTCTCCACTAAAACGCCGTAGTCATCCGAGGTCGTGTGGGTTTTTGTTTGACAGATTGATTGTCCCTCAGCCTGACTGATCACCGGTGACAGCGGATGACGTTTTTGTTGGACGCGTCGCCTTGAGCGACCGGGTTACCAGTATGTAAATGTTGCAATCAATCTTCATTGTTCCAGTCAGTCTTCACAATACAGAAAACAAGAGTCCTCACAATACCAACGAAACATAGATCGCAAACTTGACAGAATATTCTGCATCACATTAAACTCCATCAGCATAAATTTCCTCTAGTTTCTTCACTCTTATCTACGGTGCATCAAACTTTGCCAATTCGTTTATCACCTTCGCCGCCGAAAGTGATATACCGTCGCGACATTGAAACCGAACCTTACCAGGGGGGGGGGGCAAACTCCCGGATGCACGGCATTAATTCATCCACGAACGAGAAAAACGGTCCCGCGTGCGAGCGCTAACCCAAAAACGGCTACAAACTTCCCCCTTGGGCCACTGGGAAACGTTTGCAGAAACAAGAAAAATCAATTTGAGGATTCAATTAAAACTTTTTCCCTCACCTAGCTCGGCTCGGGATGACGTCGACGGTTGGTGGAGAGTGCAATGGCATTTCGCGTTCTCGGAATTAAACTTGGTTATTTAATGCAGCCCGCATTATTTGTTATTCTACTTTCACCTTTCGCTATTGAATGCTTGAACAATTTAACCCTTGGCTGACCAGTGGATCCAATTAAAAAGTTAACTGTTTCCTTTTTTTATTTATTTTATCCTGTCACTTGCAGGTCTTCTACCCCCGTTGAAAATTCCCAAGAAGTTCAAGCAATGGAACGGTGCCTCCATTCTCAATCTCAGCCAGTTGACGAGTCTGCCGTCTCGCAGGAGGAACGTGGGATCGATTGCTTCAGTAACTAATCGCTCGCCTGGCGTCGTCGGGGCGGCGTCGATTCCCAACGGGACGAAAGGTCACGCAAGGAAGCGGTCGGACATCTCGATCATATCGGCGTCGGTGCCGAGCAATGGAGGAAACGGGAACTTCGGGCTGTACGCCCTGAAGTGTGACCGAAATGCAGCGAAGCGTGGCATATTGCTGAATCTGCCGCGGAAGATGGCGGCCGTGGTTGGTGGCGAGACGAACGGGTGCTACCAGTCGGAGGAGATGGTTCATGAGAAGTTTTCACCGTGCAAGAAGACGATGGAACCACCGCCAAGGAGGAAGAAGCTGAGGAAGCGACAGGAGCAGCAGCAGCAAATCGTGGTGAACCCGATGAGGACGGGGGGCAGGGAGATGTACTGTGGTGATTTACTGCTGGAGCGGAACCGTAGCGAGCTGTTCCGGATTGCCGAGCGGGGATCGAACGAGCATCTGAATAGAAGGGACGGAGAGCACCTGGCTCCACCGGCTGGGGCACTGAGTGGTGGTCGAAAGTCACGGTCAGTGGATAATATTCTAGCATTGAAGAAGTACTACCCAGAGGAAGGTGCGGAGAGTGATAGCGATGCGGAGCAGGTGCGGTCATTGAAGGTTGGGAAGATGAGGGAATGGAAGGGATCGAGGAGTCTGAAGTACAGTGAAAGTATGGAAAGTGACTCAGAAGAGGTTGGAAAGGTTAAGAGGAATGTGAAGGGTCGGTTGAAGAAAGCCAGTGACTTTTCAATTGAGAACAATTCCGATGAGATTGAGGTAAGGTTCAGGAGGAATGAGAGTACCGAGAGTGAGGAAACATCGAAGCCGGTACCAATGCCGCTGCCCACTCGGGTGGTAGTTCTGAGACAGGAAGTTAAGCCGGAGGTCAAACCAAAAATGGCAAAGCCCAAGATGCCGGACAAGCCTCCACCGAAGAAGGTGGAGCAGTTTGTAAGCTCGCAGGATTTTGAGGAGAATTTCAAACCTTTGGCTTCGGTGCTTCTGGAGTCGATTAAGAGTGCCGAATTGAAGCGCAAATGGATCAACGACTTTCTGTTGGAAAGTGACGATGAACCCGTTAAGCCGAAACAAGCGGTGGTCGGCATGAAAAGCTTACCATCGAACGATTCGTTGTCGAAGAAGTTCGAACTGGTTGACAAGTTTGACAGACAGCTGGAAGCGCTGGAAACGGGAAGGAAGTTGACAACCAAAGAATCTGAGGATAGCGTCAATATTTTCAAGAAAACCAATGCAGATTTTGACGAATTCGATAAACTGTTCAACGGGGACAAATCGCCGACGGATGATCAGCTGCGGTCGCTCGGTAGTGTCAAGAAGAGCGTTACCGTCAGCGAGCGGATAACCTACATCAACCAACACAAGACCCATCTATGCTTCTCGTCGTCCTCGGTGGATTCGGATGTGAAGGCCGCACCGGTTCCACCGCCACTTCCTCCACCTGTGGCTAGCCGGATGAAGAACGGTACCCTACCGAAGAGTACGGTCAACATTCAGGACTACTACGACAAGAAGTTGCAGCGCGTCCGGAACGTCTCGTCGCCATCGCTGTCGCGATGCTTCGACGAAGATTCGTCCACCGAATGGACCGAACCGGTCAACAATAATATAGTGCTTCCTTTAAGTATAATCAACCGTACTATTGTAGATAACTGTATTACTACTGAGCAAGTGCCAACAAGTGCGACAGCAGCAGTAACCGTTAACGAACCGAATCAAAACATCTACCCAGAAACCTATAACCAAGCTAGTAACGACCATATCTCGTGTAATCTCAACAATATCGACGACCCTAGTTATGTCGGTCTTAATCAAGCTACCAATAGTAGTTCTACCAGTCATAGCCATAATGTTTTTATCGTGGGTGAAACCTTCAAACGGAACGAGAGCTCGGAAGTTATCCGAAGCCGGAAGCCGACGACGGTCAAGCGTTACATCAACTACAAATTTGACGATTACTGTCAGCTCGGTAATGGGAAGGGAACGAAGGCTCCGCCGAGAGTATTCAACATCAACGACTTCCACGACGAGTGCTACAACGAGGAAGGCGTTGTCATCATCTGAAGGCAGCCGCGAATTGTCTGTGTGTAGATAATAATAATACTGGTGTATAGAGGAGCGAACACGTTTTAATAAATATATCACTTATTGAACCGAGCTGGTGAGGTTTGTTTCCTTGATCAAAAGAAATCCTTCACGTCTTGAATTTTGCAATCTGCTGTCAGGGTTTCTACTTCTGCTAACTTTCCCTCGTGTATGATGAAGGAAGGCAAGTTTGATCGTTAATCATTCCCCGTAGAGAGAAAACCCCGAAAACACGTCCTAGTTGTTCAAGTCAACCGAATAAGGTAAGTAGACAGTCGCAAAGAAGAAAACCCAACAGTCGGATATATTCATTGTGTAGCTGAGGGTGGGTGACGGGATTTGCTGCCCTGCTTGGCGACTATGAAAAAGAAAATATGGGTCGGAAAAGTTTTCGCTCAAATATACTCTCTTGTACTTAATGGTGTTTGTTAGCTCGGGAACAACTATAACGTGCGTGTGTGCTTGGGTGAGTGTGAAAAGTGCTAATTATACTTATAGCTGACGACTGACGGATAGACCGGTGGCACGGAGATGGATGAAGTTTTGGCTTGAAGGAAGTTTTGTTTTCTCGTTTGGGATTTCACGGTGGCTTTGGTACAGAAGATGAGGACGTAGAGGACGGGGTCGGCGTAGTCGGTAACATTCATACCTCTCACGCCAAAGTAACGAGTTCAAAAATCATCCCCATTGGGTCACGAATGACCCTAGGGTGTTAAAGTGACTATAATATTACAAAAGAAGATGAGGATTTTTTTTTGTCAGGGGAACAACTCATGACGGAAGAATCCAAGTTTTTCACAATAAGGGCTATAAAGTATGAATCATATTCCTATGAATCATATGGTTTCTTAAACAAGCTTTAACGTGCCCCAACTGAAATGTTGGTGAGTAACCCGCAACAAATTGGAATTTAACTATTCAAGTTAATTTTGGCGTTTAATACCAATTGGGCAGTTCTTAGCCTTTGGTCCTTTTGATATGTTATTTGGTGGGTTTTCAGCAGGCATATCATGGTGGTTACTAGAAAGGATGTAATAAAGGATTTCCGGGAATTAAAATTTCGATCATCTGAACACCCCTCAAATCGCGATTAGAGCCATATTAACGGAGATGGATCGATTTAAAGGTTTGGATTATCCACCAGCCGACCAATAAATGATAATGTAATATTTTATACTGGGATTTCCACAAAAAAAAAATTCGATCATCTGAACACACCCCAAATCGCGAGTAGAGCTATATTAACGGAGATATATCGATTTAAAGGTTTGGATTACCCACCAGCCGACCAATAAATGATAATGTAATATTTTATACTGGGATTTCCACAAAAAAAAAAAATTCGATCATCTGAACACACCCCAAATCGCGAGTAGAGCTATATTAACGGAGATATATCGATTTAAAGGTTTGGATTACCCACCAGCCGATCAATAAAGGATTTTGCAATATTTTATACTGGGATTTCCAGGAATTAAAATTTCGATCATCTGAACACCCCCCAAATCGCGATTAGAGCCATATTAACGGAGATATATCGATTTAAAGGTTTGGATTACCCACCAGCCGACCGATAAATGATTTTGCAATATTTTATACTGTGATTTCCAGGAATGAAAATGTTGATCATCTGAACACCCCCCAAATCGCAATTTGAGCCATATTGACGGAGATATATCGATTTAAAGGTTTGGAATATCCACCAGCCGATCAATAAAGGATTTTGCAATATTTTATACTGGGATTTCCAGGAATGAAAATGTTGATCATCTGAACACCCCCCAAATCGCGATTAGAGCCATATTAACGGAGATATATCGATTTAAAGGTTTGGATAACCCACCAGCCGATTTATGAAGGATTATGTGATATTTATACTGTGATTTCCAGGAATGAAAATGTTGATCATCTGAACACCCCCCAAATCGCGATTTGAGCCATATTAACGGAGATATATCGATTTAAAGGTTTGGATTATCCACCAGCCGATCAATAAAGGATTTTGCAATATTTTATACTGGGATTTCCAGGAATTAAAATTTCGATCATCTGAACACCCCCCAAATCGCGATTAGAGCCATATTAACGGAGATATATCGATTTAAAGGTTTGGATAACCCACCAGCCGATTTATGAAGGATTATGTGATATTTATACTGTGATTTCCAGGAATGAAAATGTTGATCATCTGAACACCCCCCAAATCGCGATTTGAGCCATATTAACGGAGATATATCGATTTAAAGGTTTGGATTATCCACCAGCCGATCAATAAAGGATTTTGCAATATTTTATACTGGGATTTCCAGGAATTAAAATTTCGATCATCTGAACACCCCCCAAATCGCGATTAGAGCCATATTAACGGAGATATATCGATTTAAAGGTTTGGATTACCCACCAGCCGACCGATAAAGGATTATGTAATATTTTATACTGGGATTTCTAGGAATTAAAATTTCGATCATCTGAACACCCCCCAAATCGAGATGAGAGCCATATTAACGGAGATATATCGATTTAAAGGTTTGGATAACCCACCAGCCGATTTATGAAGGATTATGTGATATTTATACTGTGATTTCCAGGAATGAAAATGTTGATCATCTGAACACCCCCCAAATCGCGATTTGAGCCATATTAACGGAGATATATCGATTTAAAGGTTTGGAATATCCACCAGCCGATCAATAAAGGATTTTGCAATATTTTATACTGGGATTTCCCGGAATTAAAATTTCGATCATCTGAACACCCCCCTAATCGCGATTAGAGCCATATTAACGGAGATATATCGATTTAAAGGTTTGGATAACCCACCAGCCGATTTATGAAGGATTATGTGATATTTATAC